ATATATATATATATTATTATTATTATTTTTCGTGTTTTAAGAGAACATCAAAGAAAATATAGTCAAACTCAATTTGCAAATGAAGTGAGAAATATATATTAATAATAATTCTTGATAGGCTGATTGCTTTCTCTGATATAATGGAAGCTTGAATCTAAATAAAATAATAAAATAATTAATTTAATATATAATTATTTAAAATGTAAACAAAGAGACATTAAAAGTTGAAAAACAATCTTTATTATTTTTTTGTCTGGTTTTATAGTGAAAATATCTAAATATGTGCCACCAGTTTTTCATGTTTTAAGCATACATCAAAGAAAATCAAAGGTCAAAATCAATTTGCAAATGAACTAAGAATAAATGTAATTAAATTTGTTTTGCTAGACTGATTTTTTTTTTCTTGTTATAAGAAAATATGGACAAGAATCAATTTGCCAATGGGTAAGGAAATAAAATAACCTAAAAACTTGTTGCTAGACAGCAATCTAAATAGTATAATGCAATATTTGATTTAAGTAATTATTTCAAATGTATTAATAAAAAAATTAATATTTTTTATTGTTATTTATGTCTAATAAATATTTAATGTCCATGAATTTATTTGTTTAAAATCCTGTGTTTTTGTTTTTACCTATTGTTCCTGGATTTATTTAGTAATTCATTTATTTTTCAGTGAACAAAAATATAGAAGCAAAGTGTAAAGGACAAGGACAAAGGATAGAATAAAGGCACCGGGAGGTATTTGACCAGGATCTGGAGGAACTACAGAGACGAGCCAGGAAAAGACAGCGATAGAATAAATTCCCACTCACTTGGAGAACAGCCTTCTTAATTACCCGACCCACATCCTGTCTCCACTCCGGGATGTCCGGGTTGGCCTCGTCCAGATTAGGAGAGAAAGATAAAAGAAGCGATTTGAAGAATTCTGTCAGAGAGGAAGAGAGAAGCAGAGACAGACCCTTAATTCTTTCTCTCCTAAGATGCCCAACACCTCCTATCTGTTGTGATTTGTTCCAGATGATTTAGTCGAGCTGTAGCAGAGTTATCATTACTGACAGGTATGGAAAGGTTAGTGCTGATCACAAAAATGATTACAGTCTATTTGGCAGTTGCCAGAAGGGAGTTTTTATGACTAGCTTGCAGTGTCAAGAGAAAATGTCCTGTAATTCTGAACACTCTGAAAGCTGCAATAATACATTTCATCAAGGGTAGGGTTATTTATAGTCAGTGGTCGAATTGTAAAAATATTTCAGGGGGGATGGTGTGGTCAGTTTCTTTTTCGGCGGGATGGGGGTTGGGGTGTTGTAACCACTGGATCAAAACAACCCAATAGCTGGGTTTGTCCCTTTTTAACCCAGCATTTTTTAGAGTGTACAGCACAATAACATAATGTCGGGGAATGTCTTTAAGTTATAATCAAGGAAAAATCATACCTTTTCTGTTGTGTTTTTAAAGAACTTCAAAAGTTGCGCTTGAACCATTTTGCACGAAAAATGATGAAAACTTGCTTCCGCTTGTGAGCAGCTTGTTATAGTACCGAGTTCTTATTGGCCAATCGCCGCTATTTAGTTTGTGAATTATCATAAGTAGATGTAGAAGTAGTTTTACCAAGGGGATGCTTTTTGTCATTTTTTTCAATCAGGGGGATGCCATCCCCCTGCATCCCCCCTCAATCCGAGCCCTGTTTATAGTTACATATACAGTAAATTATTGTTACCATAGAGAAAAAAAAAAGTAAAGAGGAAAAAGTAACTTGAAACATAAGCCTTTATACAGTACGTATGTAGCATAAGAAACCTCACATTCACAATTTGTCATTACACATCCTTTAAATAACATTAATGTGACTATATTAACTATATTTAATGTCTCATTGAGCACATACTGTTGAATTGTGAACTATGCACTTTTGGAAAAATGATTCACTAGTTTATCAACTTCCTCCATAATAGCAATGTTAAAATGGTCATGAATGTATCACAGGAGAATTGTTTTAGTGTGTCAGAAAATCGTCCATATTTCTGCCACGTCACAAATCAAGCATTGTGTGAAATAGAATTATGTTGTCAAAATTATGGTAATGAAAGTGACATCTCAAAAATTATTATAATAAACTGGTTGAGGTATAGGAATAGACACAATTATCATAAATATAAAACACAAGATTAAATTAGAAATAACCCATATTAAAAAGAAATACACACACCTATCTATCTATCTATCTATCTATCTATCTCTATGTCGAGATAATTTTTTAAACATGGCATAAAAATTCATAGAAACTTAGGCCAGTAGCCTATCAACCACCCAGAACACTTTAGCAACTACCCACCATAGCAACTACATAGCAACGCCCTGGCATTGTGGTGGCAAGATTTGGGCAGGCAAGCACCAATCATGTTTTCTTCAGACAATGTGAAATTCCCGTTGCTATTCTGTATTGTAATTTTTTTTTTTTTAAATTCACATCTAAGCTGATGACACTTTGGCAAACAAATGTACAGAAAAATAAAAATCTAAAGTGCAGAACCTGTCATCAGTACCATGTCATATTTGTCTGAATGTGAACACTCACCTTGTATGGCGATGCTTCTGGTGTTCTGTAGTATAGAGTCTCCTGATGAGACCTGAACAGTGACGGTGACCATGCCCTCAGTGCTGAACGTGTGGGAAATACTGCTGTCCAACGTAATGATGGGCTAGCACCACAAACATAGTGCATACAAAACAAAAACAATCCAAATTTAATCCATAGATTTTTTGGTATTTGTAAGCTCAATGACTTTCTTAAAAAGGAAACTCTTTTAAAATGAATAGCGCCAGTGGCTTTATTGATGGTTCAGCGCGAACAAGCATAAACTAAAGAACACATCTAAATACCACAAAAACGACAAGAACAAGAACTACATTATTAACGGTTCATTGCTCCTGTTCTGTTTATCTTCTACCGTAAAATGTCTCGGAGGCCTTCGCCCAACAAAGCGAGGCAGAAAATCTGTAATTAGGAGCTGGTTGTACCTCCGTGTTGTTCCCCAGCCACCAGAAATAGGTGAGCGTTCTGAAATGAGAAGGCCAGACCACTGCCGTCAAGTTCACCTCCTTATTCTTAATGACCACATATGGAGCCAGCAGCTGAATATGCTCCACAGGACCTGAAACACACACACACACACACACACTCACACAGTCAATACAAGAACAGCAAACAGTGCAAGGGGTGAGCAAAAACTAAATATTTCGCAAAAACAACTAGCCAGTGGGATGAATAACTAGTCGACTATTTGGTCTTGTATAATTAGGCTGGTTTCGGCTTCACCTGACCCCGATTGGATGCTGTTCAAACACAGCTAGACGGAAAGCAAGGGAATGGAAACAGAATGCAGGGATCTTGAGACCTGTTTTTAAAAAAAAATGTATTTTTAACTTGGCACGGCATTTTAAAAACGCAACACTCGCAGTGGGACTTTCGAAAAAATAAATAAATAAATAAATAAAACAGTGCCAAGAAGTCAGTCAACAGGTAACTTTTCCAATAGAGTTTCGATGGGCTAACAGTCTAACACCTACAGCACAACATGCTAAATTAAGTATTAGCACTAAAAATGTCAAAACTGGGAGGAAAAAAAAATACAGAAAGAATATCAAGCGTAGTGTTAGTTCTGGCAGGTCACGTTAGTAAAGCTCGCATCAGCTGACTCGATAAACTATTTGGATAACTAGACAACCATTGTGACCCATATCTAGTAAGTCTGCACAAACACATGAATAAATACTAATAATAAATATAAATATATATTTATAAATATTACTTCTGTCACCATTTATTCACTCATCTGAGATCTTTACGCATTGTTTACTTCTCCCTGGGTGCAATTCTTTGTTTCTTTTTTAAATAGCCTAACCAATGTTTATTGTATTAAATAATTCCGCTTCAGTATTTAATGCACATCAGGAAATAAAATTTGGAGCTAATTGCTCTCATCTGATCACAAGTGCCCACCCCCTGTTTGTTTGTGAAAAGTGGAGCTAAAAGCAGTAATTGAGCACAGTAGTGTACTACACCTGTGGAGTTGAAGGACACATGCAGATTTTGGCAGAGCAACTATGAAAGTCACCTACCTAGAGTAGTGTGCTCAGTTTGTGTTTAAGAGATGCTTATTCAAAGCTTGCTAACCAGTGCCCAGCCACTTTATTGCCTGTGTGGCTACCAATTTTTTTTTTTACCAAAGATTTATTTAACATAGTAGACAAGACAGCCTCTAGTATTTGTTGTATAATTTGTGCTCTTTTGCCGGCTAAATAGAGTAGGATACTGGTTCATAATTGGGCCAATTAGTGAAATAACACTTTTTATTGCATTTTTGTTTTAATCAGTTTACTCTTGTTTATCTTTTTGTTCCATTTTTGTTCCATTTTAAAACTATCTAAATATCTTTAACAAATATCAACAATAATAATAAAAAAGAAATATTAAAACATATTTTCAGAGAGCATATGATAAATTAGTCTGTTTTCTTCTACAGTTTTTTTATTGGTTTTAATCTATTTATAAATTGCACTTACAGATAATAATAGTAATGAAACAAAAGGTCACTTAAGTGTACTTAAAGAGAGTTTCTTGACTTATTTCATGACGTCTTAACACAAAATGCACTTGGAAAAAATATATATTAAATATTATCATATTTATTTCCTGATATATATATATATATATTAAAAACAATAAAATCATATTTGTTTATTTTTATTGCTTTATTGCTTGTCAATGCAGCAGTACACTATAATTACTTCTAAAGACAACATAAGTAATTATGAAATTGCATACATTACATGAAATTACATATATAGATATACCAAAGTTATTCTTACATAGGTTAAAAAAGCAACATGAAGTTCAGCTAACTGCAATCAATATACATTAATAATAATTTTAATTTAACTGCAATTGACAATTAGATGAAATGAATAAAACCAACTAAGTGTCTACATTTTAGTATATTATTTTAAAGCATATTATTTATGCAATAATTACTCTTTTTAAAAGTATGCTAAAGTGTACTTTTTCCACAAGGGTATATCTACCAACATTTAGTGAAGTTAAAGCTTGGACTAATTGACTTTGCCAAAGAGGTAGGAAAAATAAAGTTAATTCAAGATATATTCTCTGACAAACAAGTCTTATTATCTTAAACAATACTACACACAAATAAATTCATCAAAGATGATAAGGTCTTTTTACTAAAAGTTAAGACAAAAATACTACCATAACATTATAGTATAATGTTTCGGTACCTTTTGGTACCTTAGCAAACTGGAGAATGTTTTATAACACACCTGAAATAACTTCCCAACTTCATGTAGACTAAAAATACACACTGAAGTAGGCGCTCATTTGTGCGTGTGTGTGTGTGTGTGTGTGAAACCTACACGTCACATGCAGGTGGAGGGATGACGTGTCGAACCCGAGGCTGTTCTCCGCCAGCGTTGTTACTCTGAAGATGCCTGCGCTGCGGTACACGTGCCGGATGCCCTCCTGCGTCCAGCTCAGGTTGGAGTAGGACACGGCCGTACCGTCCCCAAAGTCCAGCTGAATGTTTGTCCTCATAGAGTCGCCCTAAAAACAACACGCAGAGACAAGCCTGATTATTACAACAACTCTTTAGCACACTTTCCTTAATCACGGAGTCTGGCAGCTGCAGGTAACGTCACCATTCTGCTCCACAGACACCGGCCCATCTGCTTTCAGACACAGGCAGTGTTTTCAGCCCCGGAGTTCATTCCTGCCATAACTCTGCCTCATATATGAGATGAGGTGTGTGAAACCAGGCACAGGAGCCGCTTATTTGCAGAGAAAACAGTCACTGCGTCAAATGAATGACCTCTCAGCATGTATTTCAGCTTCCTGTGGGAACCCATCATATTACTTTTGATATGTAATATATACTTGATACTCTATATTGTGTTGGTTTGGCTTGCTCAGATATACTGATGGGTCAATTGCAATCCACCGCAATAATAATTGCTGTTTACCAGATACGATATTGCATAGGGAATATAACCATAAATATGACTCATATGGCTCTGACCAAGTCTTCTGTAAATCTGTATTCTGCCATTTTGTAAGCTAAATGAACTAAATTATAATAATTATTATTATTATTTTATTATTCAGTTGAATATGTGGGTGTGATTACATGGAGAAAATCATGAATCCTCCGTAAATTAGATTTCTTATTTCTATTTAATCCAGTCCAAACAGTAATAACAGTCTGCCATATATAGACTTGCAACTATTGGTATAAATCATACAATATAATTTACATCTAAAATATTCCAATATTATACTTTATTATACAAAGTGTAGACTGTTTAACGCTATGGCTAAATGAAATCTGTTTATTGGCTTCATGGTGAAAGTTTTCCTGCACACAGTACATCAGACTACAGAAAACTAAAAGGTTTTTTTTTGTTTGGTTTTTTTTTGTATTAATTATTATTAACGGACTTAAAAAACACAAGGCATCTGCAAATGCTTAAATCAGATAGTAAGGTTAGCAGAACCTTTTTAACTTTAACTACAGTTATATTAAAATACTGGTTAAATAAAATCAAAAGCTGTAAAATTTCATGATATATTTTTAGGTATATTATGTGATCAGCTAGGTACAAAAAAGAAGGCAAACCTCACCCCATTAAATAACAATAACAACAACAACAACAATAATAATAATACTAATAATAATAATAATAATAATAATATTCTTATTCTTATTACATTATATATATATATATATATATATATCACTTCGAATTCTTTTGTTTGACATTAACATTTCTCCTCTAAGCGCCCAATTTCGTCGGTCATCCGACGTGACGTCGAGCGTGACCGACTGAAAGGGAACGCTAAATCATACGTATGCGTGTGTGTGTGTGCGTGCAAAATTCCCAAATCCATGCTTACGCTTCCCCAAATCTCCCTTCTTTCTCTCTTTCCGCCGTTAGCACATTGTAGCCTAATGCTATTGGGATATTAATTTGTAACACTGCATTAGCAGCACATGAAGGATGGGGGGGGTGTTTATGCCCTGCATAATGACAAATCCAAAGCTGCCTGGTTTATTCCTGTCTGTTTGCTTTTAGGCACTGCTGACTGTGAAAAGCGGCCTGCCTCTGTGCGTTTCTGAGCAAGCATGTGCACCGAGTTGCTTTTAAGATATTTCATGCCACTTTGTGCAGAAAATCACAACTACACTGTGGGGGGAGAAAGGAAAAGATGACTGACAGGAGGACAGAAAAGATGTGCTGAGCTCACGAGGTTCAGACAAAGTCCTGAACCCCCCCCCCCCAGCATTTCTAGGGAAT